ATGCTAGAAACTCAGGACTGCCTGGTAGCACAGGATTGAAGAAGGAAACCACTGCTGAAAACTGCTTTTCAAAAAATGAAAGACATGACGGTAGTGGATACCAAGAGCAGGAGGGGCCCTGAAGTAAATGCCAGCAGAGTATTTGGGCTCTTGGAAGATGAGTAATCATAAAACTGGTGTCCAGGTCTGCATCCCTGCCTTGAATGCTCAGGTCAAGAAATGGGTATGGGTCTGAGAACCCCCGCAGTGGCCAGAGGGCTGACAACATCCAGGCAGATCAGGGAGCCCCCAAGCCCAGAAGATTAGCCACTGGCACATCCACCTGGCAGCCCCTCCAACTCCAGCCCCACCTCACCTAAGAAGAGCTATCTGTGGCCCTTAGCTGAGCAGCACATACACCCCTCTCCCTCACCAGCAGACGGCAATAAAAGAGCATCCCTGATCAGGATGACAGAGAATCTCAAAGTCAAAAATGAGCTTTCAGCTAGAAATCACCAAACACTGGACGAATGCTAATGCCAAGAAAGAGTCACCATGTTCAACAAACCGAAGACCTCCTACCAGAGGACAAAGAAACAGAACAGGCAAATCAGAGCTTTAAAATACATATAATTTGTGGGCCTGGGTGGCTCAGTTGGTTGAGTGGCCAACACTTGATTTCAGCTCAGGTCATGATCTCAGAGTCGTGGGATTGAGCCCTGAGCCGGCCCCACGCTCAGTGCAGTCTGCTTATTCTTCTCCCTCCTCCTCTCTGCTCCTCTCCCTGCTCTCTCTTCCCTCTAAAAGTAAATAAAATCTTTAAAAACAAACAAATAAATAAATAATAAAATGCATATAATCTATATTCCCTGAGAGATTTAAGAGGATATTGTGCCTGTGAAAAAAGAATCAACTAGAGATCCTGAAGATTAAAGTTGGATTGCTGAAATACAAACTCAACAGTTGGGCCAAACAGCAGAATGGGCACAACTGAAGAATATATTAGAACAGTAAGACTGAGTTGAGGAATTCAGCCTAAAAAGCGGGAAGGGGGGGACGTGGCGGGGGGAGATGCAAAGTATGAAGGAAAAATTAAGAAATATGGCAGCAGGGGCACCTGGGTGGCTTAGTCAGTTAAGCGTCCAAGTCTTGATTTTGGCTCAAGTCATGATCTCAGGGTTGTGAGATCAAGCCCCATGTTGGGCTCTGTGCTGGGCATGGAGCCTGCTTAAGATTCTCTCTCACCCTCCCCCTCTGCCTCACCCCCTCTTCCTCCTGAAAGAAAGAAAGAAAGGAAGGAAAGAAAGATAGATGGCAGATCTAGAAGTTCCAATATTCACGTAATAGGAATTCCACAAAGAGAGAGCACAGAGAACAAAGCATAGAAATTACTCACAGAAACAGAAGAAAATGATTTCTCAGAACTTAAGAAATTCATGAGTCTTCAGACTAAAGATATGGTAAGTACAGAGCAACATAAAGGACAAGAGATCTATATCCTAGCAAAATTCCTGACCAGCCCCCTTCCCCAATCTCAAATGCTTCCAGGGCAAAATAAAAATCAAATGAAAATAGATTATCTTCTAAAGGAGTAAGAATCAGATTGACCAGATTTTTTTTTTTTTATTTGAGAGAGAGAGAGCGAGCGAGAGAGGGAACACAAGCAGGCGGAGTGGGAGAGGGAGAAGCAGGCTTCCCGCTGAGCCGGGAGCCCGATGCAGGACTCGATCCCAGGACCCTGGGATCATGACCTGAGCTGAAGGCAGACACTTAACCGACTGAGCCACCCAGGGGTCCCCAGATTTTTTTTTTTTAAAGATTTTATTTGTTTATTTGTCAGAGAGAGAGAGAGCACAAACAGGGGGAGCAGCAAAGGGAGAAGCAGGCTCCCCACTGAGCAAGGAGCCTGATGCGGGACTCAATCCCAGGATCCCGGGATCATGACCCAAGCTGAAGGCAGACACTTAACCTATGAGCCACCCAGGCATCCCATATTGACCAGATTTTTAACAGGCAACAAGAAATGCCAGACAATAGATTTGCTTAGTCTACCATACAACAGCCAATGGTAGAAGCAATCTGTGTGTCCATAATGGAAAACAAAATGTAGTATGTGTATGTGTGTGCGTGTGTGTGTGTGTATATACACAATGAAATATTCAGCATTAAAAAGGAATGAGGGCGCCTGGGTGGCTCAATTGGTTAAGCGACTGCCTTCGGCTCAGGTCATGATCCTGGAGTCCCTGGATCGAGTCCCGCATCGGGCTCCCTGCTCGGCAGGGAGCCTGCTTCTCCCTCTGACCCTCCCCCTTCTCATGTGCTCTCTCTCTCTCATTCTCTCTGTCTCAAATAAATAAATAAAATCTTTAAAAAAAATAAAAAATAAAAATAAAAAATAAAAAGGAATGAAATTCTGATACATTCTACAACATGGATGAACGCTGAAATATTGTACTAAGTAAAATAAGCCAGACATAGAAGAACAAATATTGTATGATTCCATTTATATGAGGTACCTACACTAGCCAAATCACAGAAACATAAAATAGAACACAGGTTCCCAGAGGTGGGAAAGGAGGTAATGGGAGTTATTCTTTAATGGATAAGAGTTTCTGTTTAGGGTAATGAAAAAGTTTTAGAAATAGAAGTGGTGATGGTCGTATAATATTGTGAATATACTTAATGCCATTGAGTTGCACATTTGAAAATTATTAACATGGTAAATTTTATGTATATATTAACACAATTTAAACAAAAGAAAAAAAAAGAAGAAACCTGAGACCAATTAATTACCATGGAAGAAATCGTAGTGAGAGTCAAAGATCTGCCTTTAAGAGAGGTAACACACCCAGATGGTTTTACAGGCGAGATCTACCAGCTCTGACAATGTATTAACGTCCAGAATATATAGAAGCAATAAGAAAGGAATAAATAATTCAATAGACAAAAAGGTGATTATAAACAGGCATTTCAGTAGAAATGCAAACAGCCAATAATCAAAAGAAAACTAGTCTCAATAGTCACCAGGGAAATGGAAATGAAAGGAACACGATGCTATTTTTCATCCACCAGTTAAATAAAAAAGGAAAACTGACAATATAAAGCATTGCTGAAGGTACGGGGAAGTGGGTACTCACATACTGTGCAGATGGTACTATAAAACAGATAAAGCCTCTTGCGAGGGCAAATGGGCAGTGGTTATTAAAATTTTAATTGCATTTTACCCATGACCCAGAATCTATCTTAGGTAGGTATTTATAGATGTGCGAAAAGGGATAGCTTTTAAAAATTAGAAGCAAACAATCTAGTGATATGAAAATGGTTAAATAATCTGTGGTATGTTATACTACGGAATTCCAGGCATCAATTTAAAAAAACGAGGTACGGCGCCTGGGTGGCTCAGTCGGTTAAGCATCTGCCTTTGGCTCAGGTCATGATCCCAGGGTCCTGGATCGAGTCCTGCATCGGGCTCCCTCCTCAGTGGGGAGTCTACCTTTCCCTCTGCCCCTCCCCCCCCATTTGTGCTCTCTCACACGGTGTGCACTCCCTCTCTCTCGCAAAAATAAATAAATAAAATCTTAAAAAAATAAAATTAAAAAAATTAAAAAAATAATAAAAAGAATGAGGTAGGTCTGTACATATCAATGTGGAAAAATCTCTAAAATACATCGCGAGGTTAAAACCAAAAAGTAAGTTTCAGAATGAAGCATATGGTGTGAAACCATTTACTTAAAACCAAACAAACCAACACCACAAACTGAAACTACAGATTTCTGTAAATCACAGATAAAGATCGAGAGGAATCCACATTAAATTGGTAACAGTCACTACCGTCACTGCCTGAAGCACTAGGATCTCAGGGAGAGCTAAAGGGGACTTCAGTTCCATCTGTATATTTGACTTTTTTAAAAATAAAGAAAATGTATACCTCTATTACATAATTACTTACATGATTAAAAATACAGAAACTTAAGGAAAAAGAGGCCTGTAGTAATCAGGCCTGATTAAGAAGACAGAAATGCTGTTAAGGGCCAGCCCCTTTGTCTCTTCTTTGTTCAAGAAAGGTCAAGATTCATCAATTTTGATCATCTCTGCCGCCTCAGTATTCTCTCTGCTGCTATTTCAAAAGACACTGAATTCACTCCCCTCTTATTCTCCTTTAGAATCTTCATCTTCCTTCTAAGCATCAGGCTTTCTTTCTATGACTCTGAATCTGGGATTGAAAGTCGACAGAGGTAGGAAGAAGAAGCTAAGTCATTGTTTTGTCTCATCTTAAGTTCTAGTGGCAAATGAGACTTTCCAAAAACAGCCACACCCACATGCTCTTTTCGTCAATGGGACTTTGACATTCCTCCCACTGAAGGGGTGGGAGAGACTACGTTCCTTCCTCTCTAATCCTGGCTGGCTTGTGATGACAGGAGTGACACTATGTGATTTCCAAGGCCTAGTTCTCTTGGGAGGTTCATTCTTGGGACCCAGCCACCTCACCATGAGGAAGACCAAGCAGCCCATGGAAGACAACTCAGCTGAGCTCCCAGTGGACAACAAGCACCAACGTGCCAGCCATGAGAGTGAGCCATGGATCCCTCAGGCCCCTCCCTGACCCACCCCAGCCGATGCTGCATGGAGCAGAGGTGAGCTGTTCCTGCCGAGGCAGGTTAAATTACATGAGTGAAACACCTCTTGTTATAAGCCTTACTAAGTGTGGTGGTGGCCTGTTATAAGGAAAGAGACAACAGGAACAGTTTCCCTCACAAATGTGGACAACCCTTAACTCACCAGCTGCCCCTCCAGTGATGCCAGGCCAGCAACTATCTGACAGAGATTGCTTTAGAAGACATGGTAGGGAGCTGGAAAGGGGTGGAATAGACATCTATACCCCACAGAGTTACATCAGATGACATCTGAGGGTCCTTCTTACAAGAAGATTCTGCAGTGAACATACTGAGCTAAGTGCTGAAGCGCATTCTAGCGCCATCTTTTCCCAAAGCAGAAGACTGTCTTCTCCAATGACCTTTTACCTTTCAGAAAGCTGCCGGATCTGTGGAATTCCCATATACTTGTGGAAGTGCTCCAGAACATTCATCACACCCTGAAGAAGGTTAGCAACTTCTCCATACTGTCTTCGCCTGGTCATGGCTCTGCAAGGAAATAAGAAGCTGAGAATGTAGAAAAACACAAAGGACACAAGATACAGATGTGGATAGGGCGCCTGGGTGGCTCAGTTGGTTAAGCGACTGCCTTCGGCTCAGGTCATGATCCTGGAGTCCCAGGATCGAGTCCCATATCAGGCTCCCTGCTCAGCGGGGAGTCTGCTTCTCCCTCTGACCCTCCCCCCTCTCATGCTCTCATGCTCTCTGTCTCTCATTCTCTCTCTCTCTCAAATAAATAAATAAAATCTTAAAAAAAAAAAAAGATACAGATGTGGAAAAACCTACTCTGGGCTACAAAACAGACTCCAACTCAATGTGGTAACCATTTACTGAGCACTGAGTATATATGGGCTTGCACACTAGAGGTTAAAAAAAAAAAAGACCTAGCCAAAATCGTCAAAGTAACATCGCTCAGTAAGAGAGACAGAGCCAAGCACACATCTGATACCAAGTGGGATAAACTGAGTTCTAAACAGAAACACACATTATGTGCTATGGGAGGTACAAAAGAATGTGTGGGTGATGGATTCTCATTGGGTGGGGGTAGGGAATGTGGGAAGACTATGGATTTGGGTTGGGTACTATGGGATTAGCAGACTTTTGATAGAAAATAGGGATAGGAATGTTACTGTCTGAGGATTACAGCATATGGGCAAACCAAACACATCTTCCCACGATACAACAAAGGGCATTCATAGGCATTTATATGTTAACTCAAATCTGGAGGTTTTAAGCCAATATTAAGCAACTCTCCCAGATATGTCTACTTTCCCTATTACTAAGGTTAATGAAGCTTAAATAAAAGGATGCTAATAAAAGCAACAGTTACACACACAAGGAAAGTCAAATTATTAGACCTAAATTTTTTATTAGGGTTGGACTTTTAAATTAAATGTGTAATATACGACTTCCCTTAAGAGGCATTAAAAAAAAAAAAAAGACATTTAAGAAGACAGTACCAAGTTCGAACCAATGTGTTCGGGTGCTACTGCAGCCTGGTCTGATAGTCTGGTGGCAAGGGACATCTGGAGCATCTGGAGCAAGGAACAAGGACACTGCTCTTCTAGCCTCCCACTGGCTGGCTCATATCTCTGATCACTACTCGCAGGAGGACAGACCAGGGTTTGCTGGAGCTCATACAATGCCCGGAGAGACCAGGAAGGGTCTGACCCTGTCCTCCTCCCAGCTTCAGATGCTGCATCTAAATTTCTATGAAGATGTTCTTTCTCTGTCTACATATGAGACTCTACTGAAGCTGGGGCAGGGGGAATTCTCAGCCGTGTCAGAATCTTGCTAGTAAAAGAGGCGTTTGGATTGCTTCTTGTGGTAAATAACCAGCTCTTCCTTTTAACACTACTTCTGATGTCCTCATGCATCATTCCCTACAGCTCCTCTATAAACCAAACAGGATGCTACAGTCTTTGAAAAAGTGGGTTGAAAAAAAAGTGGGATGAATGATAAATCAAGACTTTCTTTTTTTCTTTCTTTTCTTGCTTGCTTTCTCTTTTTTTTTTTTTTTTAAGATTTTTATTTATTCATCAGAGAGAGAGAGACAGAGAGAGCACAAGCAAGGAGAGAGGCAGAGGGAGACGCAGACTCCCCACCCAGCTGGGAGCCTGATGCGGGGCTCGATCCCAGGACCCTGGGATCATGACCTGAGCCGAAGGCAGACGCTTAACCATCTGAGCCACCCAGGCGCCCCTCTCTCTCTTTCTTTTTTAAAGCCCTATTTCTATACAGAACATCCAACAGCACTGCAACTCAGCCCAACACAAGTAGGAAGACTTGCCAAGGCAGGGGCTATAGGGAGAGATTATGGTCCTGAATGACCTTGCTGGCCTTAATGGTAGACACCTACCACATTTAAATGAGCCGTATTCTTGGAATCATGAATCATCCTCCACATGCTATCTGGGTCCCTTCCACACTCACTTGCAACTCACTTCAAACTTTCAGGTGTTTGTTACATTTTGAACACCAGAGGGCACAAAGCCAAATGTAACTAAACACTTGAGACCAATTTGCAGAAAGTGGGGCAGGACAGTGAGCCTTCCCTGGCTGAGGAGTAAAATACCTATGATGCCATTTTCTTTACATGGCACATTCACTTCCTGTGGACCCCAAAGAGAAAGCTGACGCTGCTTACTCGAGGGAATCCACGCCACCTGCTAACATGTGCAGGTGGTTCAGCGTTGTGATTGAGGTGGTCAGGTGGCGTTTGGCATGATCTAGCTGCTTAATATCGCGGGTGATTTCTTTAACCTAAGTAGTGAAAAACCACAGGAGAAAAAGGAAGAAGGTTAAGAAAGATGTAAATCCATTTGCAAGTAGCTCCACAAGAAAATAAGGCAAATGAAACAAGGGAAAAAACCCTCAGGTTAGCTCCTGGAGAAAACACATACATTCTCATCACGTATAAAATCAAAATACCTTCCAATCAGTCCATTTAAATCTCATCTGGCATTTCTTCAGAAGGCTTTACCCAGGGGTTCAAAATCTTCAACTATGAGAACAAAATGAACTTTATTTTTCACCCCAAATGGAGTGATCCAAACAGCAATTTAGTATGGAGCTTATAGGGTCCAGGAGCCAAGTTTGGCACATATCCTCTTGAACAAGGTCAGAAAAGTATGCCTTCTGATAGGGGGGCTACCAGGTTCGACACAAATGGACAGTATTAGTCGGCTAATTCTGTTGAACCGATCTTTATTCATGGAACTAGGGTTTACTGCCCGAACCCCAGCAAAGAAAGACTTGCCCTCAAATCTCAAGAAGACTAAAATAACATAACATATGCCTAACATGTACTGTCACAGAGGAGAGGTGAAGTCGTCAGGAGCAAGAAGATAATGGGGGAAGTAAAATTCAGACAGTGTTCACCCAGTAGATCCAAGAGAAATAAACTCTGTACCTGGAATACAAGTATATTTCAGTCACTAGAAAAGTACATTCAGTAATGAAGTGGGAACAATTCTCCAACTTTACTAACATCTAGGTGGAATGTTCCACTGAACTGCCTGAGTTCATGTTGACCAAGAAACTTTCTGAAGAGCAATTTGGTTTCCCGGGTTCTTTGATACCTGGAAGGAAGGGAGTGCCCTGGACACTAGGCACAAATATTCTAGTCACTGGAAAGACCTATCTCCCACTAAAAGTGAAAAACTTGGTGGTGAGTTAAGTTCACATGATCTGATTTTTCAGAGTCTGATCACCCCATGTGAACCCATAAAGTAAAGATTATGACCCTCACAGCTTCATTCCACACCCACAAACCTGCTAAGCTGACCTGGATCTTGGCAGTAAAAGTCTCTCTCATGGGGAATACCCCATCAAGCCCACTCTCCCTGTAATTCTCAGGCCATCAAAGTATCTTTATTTCTATTCCCTGCGGGTGGGGGTAGGGAGGTGGGAATAGGTTAAGAACTTCTTCACGGAATAACTGAGCTTAGGGAAAAACAGGATCAGGAGTGGTACAGCGAATTAGTACAGGAGTCTGGTCCTAGAATCTGATAACCCACTTCCAACACTGAAATCATCGCCTTCTCTACAGAAAAATCCCTGCACCTCTTATGAGCTTCCTTAGCTCCACTGCTAACATCAGGAGTCTTTAACTATTGCATGAAAAGTCAGAGTCATCTGTGACTCTACTCATTCCTACATCATTAGTCAGCCACTAAATCCTGAATATTCTTCCTGTGCCTCATCACAAAAACTGTCCCTTCCTACTCATCCTTCAGGCCCTCCCTGGAGCTCTGCACCAGAAGTGACTGGTCTCTCCATTCTCAGTACCTCCCGTCTCCCCATCACATATCCTGTGCTTCCCTAGACAAACCGAGCTCATGCAAAGGATGCTCAGGTCAAAGTCACAGAGATCATTATACAAATAGGATACCCATAGTTAATGTACCTTAACTGTTAGCCAGGGGCAGCCAAAAAATGACAGAACATGACATGGCAGGTTTTGGAGTTAGGCAGCTCTAGGGTTGAATCTCAGCTCTTCCACTCACCAACTTTGTCCTAGAATAAGCTACTTACCCTGAGTCTCAGTTTCCTCATTTATAAGATGAGTAATCATAGGGGCACCTCGGTGTCTCAGTCAGTTAAGTGCCTGCCTTTGGCTCAGGTCATGATCCCAGGGTCCTGGGATTGAGCCCTGCATCGGGCTCCCTGCTCAGCGGGGAGACTGTTTCTCCCTCTCCCTCTGCCCCTCCCCCCTGCTCGTGGTCTTTCTCTCAAATAAATAAATCTTTTTTAAAAAATGATTTTATTTATTTTTTTGAGAGAGAGAGAAAGCATGAGCAGGGGGAGGGAGAAGCAGGTGTGAGAGCCAAATTAGATTACTTATAAAGGATATCTATGGCATAGTATTTGGTACATTGAAGGACTGCAACAATTATCAGTTCTCTCTTCAATCCTACCTCTTCTTCCCTTTAGCAAAGCAATAGCCAGGAGAGCAAACTGCTTTAAAATAAAACATCTCGCGGTTCGACGGCCTGTGGATGGTGCTGAGGCAGAGCATCCTTGGGGAAAGAACCACAAATCCAAATCCCTCTCTGATGACATACAGCCTCCCCTCAAAGACTATTTAATTCTGTGACAAAGCACAAATATTAGTATTTTTCCTCTGATGAAAGGGTTCTGTTCCTTTGACCCCTCATTTGGCAGTTAAGGCCCATAACACTGCCTGCCTGGGAAGAACAGGAAGCGCTAACGGTAAGAACAGCAACAACTGATCCTTACTCAGGGGCCATGGCTGTCACACACGATCTCATTTAATCCCCCCAATTCTATGATGTACCCAGACTATTATCTCCATTTTACAGTGATGAAACCAAGGCAGAGATGGGTTCAATAACTTGCCACAGCTAGTAAGTAGAGGGGCTGGATCCCAACGCAGGCAGCCTGCCTGCAGAGGTCATGCTCTCCACTACTCAGTCAAGCTGCCCGTCCCCCTCCACTCCATATCCTTCCCTATCGTGCCAAATGGCCACTGAAGAGAGCTGCAGGATACACAGAAATGTGACATCAGCTCTGTTCCTGTAGTAAATTAGAAGAGGATATAGGGCGAGAAGACGGTAAGGATTTGGGAGTTTTTGTAACCAAAAGTAGTAGGGGGGAAAATGACATTAGTAATGACTTCAGTCACAAGCCTAGCTCAGTGCCCCTCATACATTTAATTCTTCAACAATCCTTTAAGGCAGGTGTGATTGTTCTTATCTTACAGTTGAAGAAACTGGAATTCAGAGACAGTTCAGAGACATGACATTACGTGGTCAGAATGTGAGCACAGGAGCTAACGTTTTATAGTGAATCCCCCCTCCCCCCCATGGAGTAGGAGTGGGGGAGGCTGGATTCTCGGTGAGCAGAGAGGCCTCCTGAGTACATCACCGGGGAACACAAATCTGTCAAGGGGAAACTTAATCAAAACCATAAGCACGTATTGTGGCAGGAGACATCCTCCCTCCCAGATCCTGTACCATTTTTCACCCTATACCAAGTTACATATCGTATATCTTAACTGAGAAATACATGATATATACAAATGCCAGAGAAAGGAATCCAAAATGACTAGAAAACTATTTTTGGGAAAGAAGAAGGAAAATTTCCTATTTAAAAACAGGGCTGCAAATGTAGGGCAGCAGGAATGGTGAGTCACGGCATGTCTAGCAGCTCCTCTTGAATCGATCTGGAATGTTCTCACAGGGCTTGCTTTAGAGATGTGGGTGCTGTGGTTGACAGCGAGTGGGAGAAAAAGCCCAGTAATTAGTATGACTGGACAAGAACCTAACTTCCTCTTCAAGTGCAAAAAAGTTAGGAAGAAACCTAAACTCACCATTTGCTCTGATTTTTCTGCTTTGTCTTTGATATCTTTGATTTTGCCGAAGAGTTGCTGAATAGCTTTCTGGGCCTCTTCAAGTGCCTAGAATAAGAGAAAAACACAACAAACAAGAAGCAACACAAGACAGTACCAGTCACTACACAATAATCAAGTCTAGTTTCAGAAGAAAACTACCATAAAGCTCTCTTGACTCATTGTACTTATGTAGACAATTTTACTGCACCAAAGCAGTAGACAGACTCTAGGATTTGGATACAGGCAAATACATAGGATTCTTGCCAACCTGAATCATAAAGTTTTAATTTAAAAACGATCTCCCTCCATCTCAGGGATTACATGTTTTTAAGAAAATTTTTTTATTTGTTATTATTTTATTTATTAAATTCAGTTAACATATAGTGTATTATTAGTTTCAGATGTAGAGTTCAGTGATTCATCAGTTGCATATAACACCCAGTGCTCATTACATCATGTGCCCTCCTTAATGCCCATCACCCAGTGACCCCCATCTCCCCACCTTCCTCCCCCCCAGCAACCCTCAGTTTATTTCTTATAGTTAAGAGTGTCTTATGGTTTGTCTCCCTCTCTGATTTCGTCTTATTTTATTCTTCCCTCCCTTAGGGATTACTACATGTTACTGATAACACATAAACAAGACATGCACATTTGTGCCTTTTTGTGCATGTGTATGTACATGCACACAACCATAATAACCGTCAAAGCTTGTAGAGAGACACAGGTGGCTATAAGTTGGGAGAAACTATGAATTTAGAAAGTTCTAGAAGGCTGTACTTTCAACAAAATCAACTGTACATGGGGATTCCAGGACTGTGGCAAACCTTAAAGACATTTCTAGTACCCCGTTTGGAAACCTAGGACATGAAGTTAGAAAGGGACACTTAAAGCTAACAGTGTGCCAAATGTTTCTACTGAAAAACCTAGAAGATGGATGCCATACATGAAAAGTATGATAAGCCACGATCGCTTCTGTGAGTAGGAGAAGCGGTATTTGGGGAGCTGTCAGGGTGCTAAAACCACACACGTGCAGGACATATGTACTTAGAAAAGATGCAGCAGCCAGAAGAAGAACTCATTCTGCATTTCATCAAACACACTTTACTGATTTTGGATTGAAGAGCGGTCTGTCCTACCCGGGCCTCACAAGCCCTCTCTGAAGGTAATGATAAGGCCAGTGTAAGCCTAGAGCTGTGTGTGGCCCTCTCAGCCTGCACAGGGAAATAGCCAGCCTCCCCGAGAGCTTCCCACAGAAGGAAGAGGAAAGCAGAGCCGAGACGAAGGGAGAAGGACAGAAGCCCTGACAGAATGATTTGGACTTCTGTGTTCAGCTGTACCCAATGAAAAAGCTGCCTCTAAATCCTGAACTCATACGTCTTTTATACTTTAAAAACATCCCCAAAAAGCAAACTTGGGCTGGCTTCCTCTGCGGCAAATTCCTTCCTTGCTGGAGGCAGGGCTTGTGTCTTCCTTTCCTTCGTAGGTTTCCCAGGCTGTCCACTTCTTCTGATACTGGGAATCCTTGCTGCTTTTGGAGTTCCTTGCCCCGTGTGTGGCTCAATTGCAAACAGGAGTTTCACACGCTGAGCTGTTGCACGTGATTGTATTACGGCCTCTAAAATGCATGTCCAGGGGTGCCTGGGTGGCTCAGTGGTTAAGCGTCTGCCTTCGGCTCAGGTCATGATCCCAGGGTCCTGGGATTGAGCCCCACATCGGGCTCCCTGCTCCGCGGGAAGTCTGCTTCTCCCTCTCCCATTCTCCCTGCTTACGTTCCCTCTTCTCGCTGTGTCTCTCTCTGTCAAATAAATAAATTAGATCTCTAAAAAAAATAATAATAATAAAATAAAATGCATGTCCAGAAGGTCCTCTGAGAAGCCATTCCTTGAGCCCATTGTGGCCGAGTCTGAGGGTACACTATTCCAGCTGCGGCTTGCATCCCCTCCTGGGGCAGGCCAGGTCAGTGTGTGTTTTCTCTGCTGGATCGCTTCACTTGTATCTACAAAGGTTTGTGAGCAAAGGAGCTTTTATACTTGTGATTTCTGCCACCTGGGCACAGGATTTTAATCACCAGAAAGTCTGGTCTTCGAACAATAGCTGGCATTGCTATCAGATCCAAAAATTCCTAACTTGGGAAATGTTACCGAAAAAGCAGGAAACGATCGAAAGACAAGGTGGAATGGAAATGGGTCGCACTGAGCAGCTCCTCTCAATCCCATTCTGCCCCAAGAGGATGCCTCACTCAGCAACCTTCCCTCCTGGTTTCCTGCCATCCTGCTTTCTCATTCTAGGATTCAGGCCCCCGAAACAGCTGTGGTGGTGTGAGGAAGCCCTGTATTTTCCAACCAGCAGGCAGCAGTGAGGCCCGCCTCTGCTGTCTCACTCTGTGTGCATGCTCTCTGGGTATCCGCTCCCTCATCTGCAAAGTGATGATGATGGCACCTACTTCCATGGTTCTGGGGAAGATTCAATGACATAACAGGTGTAAAAAACTACACAAGTATTAGGTTTATTTCCAGGGCTCAGGACTACCCAAGCAAATGCATGCCTGCATCTCTGCATAGACACACAGAGACATGTATATATAATGTCCCCTTGACCATACCTTTCCCTCTCAGCATGACCACGAGGCCTGCCCACTCTCTGACGCTTCCTACCCTAAGCCACCCCCTGAGCGAATCCTCGTCCACTCATTCCACTTCCCCGTCCCCCCAAGAATTCTCTTCTTCATTTCTAATATTCACCTCCTCAAAACCAGCATACAAGCAAGATTCTCTTGAGCGCTGCTTACTACCATCCCACCCAACTTCAGATTTCCTAAGATTATGACAAACCAAGTTCTAACAAAATTAAAAGGATAAAAAGGAATAAAATATCAAATGTCCACTTACAACCAAAGGAGTGAAATTTCAAAATAAAATGTTCAACACAGCTACTCATAGTGTGCAAACCTTTGTTGTCTCCCATGGCCTCGTTCAAATGCCACTTCTTCCCCTTCCCTCCCAATACCCTCTCCTATAAACACGCGGCACACAGTGGAATCCATTCATCTGGGTGCCTCTGATCCTTTATGCATACTTAACATTTATAATAATTTTTTTGTGAATGTGTCTTTTGGTTGGACCATGACATTCTTTTTTTTTTTTTTTAAAGATTTTATTTATTTATTTGAGAGAGAGAATGAGGTAGAGAGCATGAGAGGGGGGAGGGTCAGAGGGGGAAGCAGACCCCCCGCTGAGCAGGGAGCCCGATGCGGGACTCGATCCCGGGACTCTGGGATCATGACCTGAGCCGAAGGCAGTCGCTTAACCGACTGAGCCACCCAGGTGCCCGGACCATGACATTCTTAAAAGGCACGGACCGTATCTCATTCATTGTGATTTACTGGCACCAAGGGCAGCACCTAGAATAATACAGTAGGTGCTCAATACATGTTTATTAAGTTGAATTTTAAAATCAATCACGGTACACACACACATGCTCCATCTTTACTCTCAGGATAGTCAGGCAACAAACATGTTAGCCACAGTAGTTATGGCCATACCAGCATTTCAACTGAAGACCTTCTTTCAAGCAACATAATTCAGTTTTGCAATCCTCCCATACTGAAAAATATACCGGGTTAATTAACCTAGGAAATGAGACAGGTTTTAACTTACCATGCTATCAAATTTTGTAAAACTGTAGCTAGAGTAGTAAATTACTTATACACACACACACATATATATACTTCACAAATAAACATATATGTGTATATATGTATATATAAAATTGCATCTACCTCAGAACCTTCCATATATTCCTCTCCTTTCAAGAAAGGCATTTTTCTTTTTTTTAAAGATTTTATTTATTTGACAGACAGACAGAGAGGGAACAAAAGCAGGGGGAGTGGGAGAGAAGAAAAGCAGGCTTCCTGCGGAGCAGGGAGCCTGACACAGGGCCTGATCCCAGGACCCTGGGACCATGACCTGAGCCGAAGGCAGACGCTTAATGACTGAACCACCCAGGCGCCCCAAGAAAGGCATTTTTCTATGATTGTCTTTGAATAAAAAAACTATATTTTTAGATTATTTCAGATATCTGTAAACACTAGATTACAATTTTTCCTTCTGAAATAATTGTTAAATCACTGTCTTTTGCCCATGCTGCTCAGGAACTAAAACATATTTTAATATCCACTTTACTCAATCAATAAACACCATACTAGAGATGCAGGGATAAAAAATGTAATTCCTGCTCTCAAGGAGTTTATCCCTAATAAGGCAAATAGAATAATAAACAGTAAAAACACTGAGACATGATAATGATATGTTCAGAATGTTGTGGGAGCCCAGAGAGCCCACTGCCAACACCAGCTTTGTCTGTTTGTTCGTCTGGTAGGAAGAGAGAAAGAGAAGGAAGGAAGGCCCACAAATTCATCCTGAAGAAGATCACAACTTTACACGCTACCATTTAGGCCAGAATGTTTTAAAATAAGAGCAGTAAGAGTAGTGAGTACTTTAAAAATGCTATTTTTCAAATCTATATTCTATCACAAATTCTCACTTCCCAGCCACGCAGGCCTTCGGTGTCTTCACTGTCACTGACTGAAGACAACCTGTATCTGAATCGTTACTCTGAATTCCTGTGGCAGTTATAGTCTCAACTGCATTAGTCAGCATTTCATTAATTCATTTCTTCTATCATTCAACAAATATTTATTTCTTTATTTTTAAAAGATTTTATTTGAGAGAGAGAGAGCACAAGCAGGGGGAGGAGCAGAGGGAGAGGGAGAAGCAGAATCCCTGTTGAGCAAGGAACCCGATGTAGGGCTCGATCCCAGGACTCTGGGACCATGACCTGAGCTGAAGGCAGACGCTGAACCGCCTGAGCCACTCAGGTGCCCCATCAGCAAATATTTATTGAACATCTTCCGTGTACCAGATATTCCTCTAAGCACTGAAAACCCAATGGCAGATGAGACAGACATGGTCCTTCTCCCTGTCCTCAAGGAACTTACTCCGAGAAGTGGCAGGAGGGGAGAGATACTAGAAAAACAACTAACTAAAGAAAGAAAGTAGAAAATTTCA